ACTCACTATGTAGACCAGGCTGGCCTCAAACTCACAAAGATCCGCCTGCCTCTGCCCCTCAAGTGTAGGATTAAGGGTCTGAAATACCACACCCAGCTTAGAACTTTTTTTTTAATCTTTTTTTTTTAAACATTTTTAAAATTTTTTTATTGTTTTTATGTGTATGCGTGTATTGCCTGCATGTAGATAAGTGCACCTATGTCGTGCAGTGCCCACGGAGGTCAGAAGAGGCTGTCGGATCCCCTGGGAGTGGAGTTTATGGACAGTTGTTAGCTGCCATGTGGGTGCTGGGATTTGAACCCAGGTCTTTTGCAAGAACAACCAGTGTTCTTAACCACTGAGACATCTCTCCAGTCCAGCCTAGAACTTTTTTATTAGAGGAGTTTATTCTATACTGTCTAGAAAATGAACTGTGATGACTATACTTTCAGTTTTGAATGAGTTAAGTATATAGTAAGCCAGACTAAAAGAATAAGTAGTGAGTAGCAGATAGAAGCAGCCGGTGTTCCCACATCCAGCAGACTGCGGTGGCCTGAGAGAGCAAACAGACACTATCCTCAGAGGGAGGCTTATATCGTCCCATTACAATTTGACTGAGAAAACCATGCTGAGACAGTCAGCTGGGGTTCCCTAGTGAGAACTTGCTTTCTTTCTCCATGGATGAGCTTCCAACTTTTCTTTCCCACTGCAGGCATTTTTATACCCTAAGGTAAATAATAGTGGTGTCTGTTGAAAATGGTTTATCTTTCAATTGTTCTCAAAGGCCGCAGTGTTTTGCTTCATTTAGTTTTCAATTTTTTTGTTGTTGTTGTTAACGTTTATCTGTATATGTGTATAAGCAGGTGAAGGACAGGACAACTTGATATATTAGGTTCTGCCCTCCCGCCATGTGGGTCCTAGGGATCAAACTCAGGCGGTCAGGCTTGGTGGCAAATACCTTTATGAGCCATTGAGCCATCTTACCTGCCCAAGGATGCAGTTATCCCCTTATCTGCTTCCTGGTTTTCCCTGTCCCTATTAAGGAACCAGGGGCCAGCCTGACAGAGGATGGAGTTTTGGTGGAAAAAAGAAGGGTCTTCTTGCTCCCCAAGTCTGCTTTCAATAAACTTAAATAGTACATCATTGCAGGGTTTTGGTGTATATGTATGTATATTTTGTTATTTTGTGTGTATATATATATTTGTGTGTACGTGTACACTTGGGCTTACACACTTCAGTAGGTTACCACGGCACCTGGGTGGAGGTCAGAGGACTTTCAGGAGTAGGTTGAGGCAGAGTCTCTGTTTCTGCTGCTGCACTCCTACGTGACATACTCCAACTAGATGGCCTCTGAGCTTCCAGAGGGTTCTTGTTTCTGCCTCCCATCCCAGTGTAGGAAGCTGGGATTACAGGTGCTCACCACCACAGCAGGGTTTTATTTAGGTCTGGGTAGTCAGACTTGCACAACTAGCACTTTACCTGCTGAGCCATCTCCCTGGCCCTTATTTTGTTTTTGTTGGTGGTGGTGTCTTGAGACAGAATCTTGCTGTGTAGCTGAGGCTAGCTGCACCTTGTTTGTAGGCTTAAGTTGGCCTCAAACTTGTGACCCTTGTGCTTCAGTCTCCCAAGTTGCTGGGGTTTCAGGCATGTTGCAACCTACCAGTCTGAGAATATTTCTTACTCTGTTGAGAAAATAAGAACTCTGATTTTCTGGTTTGTTTGTGGGTTTTTTTTTTTTTGTTTTTTTGTCTTTTGAGACAGAGTCTCCCTGTAGCTCCAGGTAGCCTCCATCTCAGAAATCCACCTGCCTCTGCCCCGCCATTCGTATCTTTCCCTTTGAGAATCAGGTCATGTTCTGCCTTCTGCAGGTGTGGACCTGGTCCCCTCTCCTTTTCTCATGGCTTGGAACAAATGCCTGGCTTGTACAAACACAGCACACCATTTTTGGTGCTGCCCCTATAAATTATTCCTGGGATTCCCATTCTCCTCAGCCCCTAGGGTGTCTGGTACTGTAAGTATAAGTGTAAAAGAAGGCACACCAGCCAGGGAGCACACCTTTAATCTCAGCACTCAGGAGGCAGAGGCAAGTGGATCTCTATGAGTTCAAGACCAGCCTGGTCTATGTAGTGAATTCCAGGACAGCCGGGCTACAGGAAGACCCTGTCTCAAAAAGACCGAAAAAAAAGAAGGCACACCAGTTCTCAAGCTAGCTAGAGTCCATTTGAGGACAGTGCTTTCTTGAACTTGTATATGGTTATAGCTAGAGTTTGCATCCGGCACAAACTTGCAACCTTCGTTAATAAAAGTTATTGCCATGTGACTTGTCTGCATGGGATGTGTGACCTGATACCCTCAGATCCTTGTGGCTCGTTCTGCCCTGAGAATTATTTCGGACGTCACTCCTCCTTCATGTTACACAGAAATGTTTGAGGATATTTGAGATCTAGCTCACATTTACTCTGTACTCCTTTCCGAGGAACACAAAGCAGTCCAGTGACATGATCCAGCCTCTCATCCTTACAGAGAGATCATCATGGAGATTAAGTGCCCAGTGCTTTTTCCTATGCAGAAATCTTCCCACAAAAAAGCCACCCTGTTATTCTCTTCTGCAGCTTTCATAATTTATAAGGTAATTAGGTCAGTAAGCCAAGCTGGGTGTCCTCCTTTATAGTATTGAAAGCGTCAAGAATAACCAGGAGTCAGGAGCTTGGCATGGCGGTACACACCTATAACCCTAGCACTCAGGAAGCTGAGGCAGAATTGCCATTCAAAGCCAGCCTGGGCTACATACAGATACCTGTCTCAAAAAAAAAGAACAAAAAAAAACAAACAAAACAAAGTGGACTCATTGGCATCTTTAGATCATACTACCAGAGAGTGAATTTGTACTTTCTCATGTTGTGACAATGTTTTAATGTCCTTGGTCCTTGATTCTCCTGCTTTAACCTGCCAACCTCCTTACCTCTCACAACCAGAGAATAAGAAAAATAACTAACATTTATGGAGTTTTTTGAGTTTAGAAGCATTATTTTTGCAGTTATGGGGATTAGAATCTTGCACGTGCATTTTTGGGAGGGGGCATTACTAGTACTTGAACCCTGTGCCTTACAGTAGGTAAGTGCTGAGGATTAAGTATTCAGGAATAAGACGATGTTGGGTAGGAGCGAACTTTTAAGTTACAGGTGATTGTGATATTGAGGATAGATGTTACAGTCTGGAGCAATGTGACTCTGACGCATGCACTTCCTCTTCAAGCTGAAAGAGATGTGCCTTTCTTCTGTCCTCTTTCTCTACTGCTCTCCTCTGATCTGCTCTCCTTATAGTAGGGTGTGTAGTGTTTTTGTTGGCGTTGTTCAATGCTGGAGATTGAGTTTAGGGCACCCCACCATATGCTAGGAAAGTGTTTTACTACTGAACTACATCCCAGCCCTTTTTCCAGAGGGATTGAAGGGTCTCAGTTACTTAGCCAAGCTGGTATGAAACTTGCTCTATGGCCCAAGCAGGTCTTGAACTTGAGATCCTCCTGCCTTTGCCTCCCCAGTAGCTAGGATTACAGCCCTGCCCTGCTTGCTCCTGCTTCTCTCCATGAACAACAGAGAATTAGATAAAATAAGTTTTAGGTAAAAATGTTATACTACAGCCAGGCATGGTGGCTCACACCTGTAATCCTAGCACTTGGGAGGTGAAGACAGCAGGGTCAGGGTTTCAAAGCTAGCCTCAGCTACATGGTGAGTTTGAGACCAGACTGGGCTACATGAGATTCTGTCTCAAAAAAGAAAATCAAAAGAAAGTGCAGTACTGCTGTTAAGGTCCCAAACCTGTGTGCACGGTCCGTATTGTTCATCCTTGCTGTGTCTCACCTCTTTTCTGTCACTAAAGCTGTCTGTTCACTGCCACTGTTCATCATTTGTTACCACTAGTAAGAAACAGCTTTTCAGCAGTTGGTTTTTTTCTGGTGTCAGTGTTTTTTTAATTGCCTTTTTCTACATTTCAGTTCAAATTTCTCTTTGACGTATTGCATTTTAGTATATAATTTATGTAGGTTTTAAAGTATTACTAGAAATTCCTAGGGTTTTATTTTGGGTTATTTTGTATTATCTTTTTGTTTTGACTTTTTCTTGTTGTTGTGATGGTGTTGATGTTTTTTTATTTTCATTTATATATTATTTTTTATTTTTTATTTTTTTTTTTGGTCTTTTTGAGACAGAGTCTCTCTGTAGCCCCAGCTGTCATGGAACTCCCTATGTAGACCAGGCTGGCCTTGAACTCACAGAGATCCACCTGCCTCTGCCTCCCAAGTACTGAGATTAAAGGCATGTGCCACCACGCCCCGCTTTATTTTCATTTATTTTTATGTGTATGAGTGTTTTGCCTACACCTGTGTGTGCAGCACCAATGGAGGCCAGAAGAGGGTATCAGGTCTCCTGGAACTCGTGTTCAGGATGATTGTTAGCTGCCATTGGGTGCCAGGAACTGAACCTGGGTCCTCTGCAAGAACAGCCTAGTGCTCTTAACTGCTGAGCCATCTCTGACCTGTTTGGTGGTGGTGGTGGTAGTGGTGGGCGGCGGCGGCGGTGGTGATGGTGGTGGTTTTGAGACAGGGTCTTATGTAGCCCTGAACTTGCTAGGTAGCCAAGGCCAGCCTTCTGGTCCTTTTGCCTCTACCTCGTTAGTGCTGAGATTACTGGCATTTGCCACCAAATCCCAAATATTTTCTTGGTTACAAGTAATTCTTATAGCTTGTTTTCCTGCCATAAAATGAATGTAATTGAAACAGTTCTTTTCTGGAAGGAAACCTAAAACTATTGAGTCCTCCTTGGTGTTTCCACAAAGACCCTACTGTGGTTTCTTCAGTTGTGCTTTAGGGACACCCAAAGTGCAATGGAAACAAGAACCTGGCATGTTAGAGTGATTCAAGAATGTCTTCTGAGGGACTGAGGGTGTCACATGGTACAGGGCTGCTAGGGTCAGAAGAGGGCCTTGGTTCCATCTTCAACATGGAAGGAAAAAAATGAGCTGCATGTGGTGGCTCATGCCTGTAATCCAGCAGAGGTAGAGAACTGTTACAAGTTCTAAGCCAACCTGGTATGCATAGCAAATCCCTAGTCCAGCAAGGGCTACATGCAAGGGCAAGACGCTGTCTCAAAACAAAAACAAGGAAAAAGGTCTCGTGGTGAATACAAACCCTTGGTACACTCACAAGGAGCTTCCTCTGCCATCCTCCACTTCCCAACAGTCCTCCCCCATCTTCCTTTTTTCTCACTTTCTTTACAGACATATTTCCCAGTGTGAAACCACAGGTCCTAGCCAGGTGTGATGGCACATGCCTGTAATCCCAGTACTCGAGGTTGAGACAGGAAGATTACAGTGAGTTCAAGGCCAGTCAGGGTGATCTTAGCAAGGCCCTGTTTCAAAACAAAGTGAGCAGGCTGGAGAGATGGCTCAGTGGTTAGGAGAGATGGCTCAGTGGTTAAGAGCTGCTTTTGCAGAGGACCTGGTTCAGAGCTGCTTTTGCAGAGGACCTGGTTCAGTTCTAGCACCCACATGGTGGCTAACAACCATCCAAAACTGTAGTTCCAGAGGATCTGATGCTCCTTCTGGCCTCTGTGGCATTACACTTATATGCAGGCAAAACACTTATACACATAAAATAATTTTCTAAAAATTAAAGAAAGACCTATACATCCTTAATTCTGGTGGCATTAGAGGAACTGGAGAACAGCTGGGAAGCCTTGGGAGGTGTGCAGAGAACAAGCCAGGGGTCAGGCAAAGACAGGAGAGAAGCCCAACAGATAAAGGAGGGTTCAGCTGCGTGCCCAGGGGGGCGGGGAACAGGTCTAATCAATGCAGAGACCTGTCTCCTCATGAAGTATCTTTCACAGAAGTCTAACTTGGGGAGTGGGGAGAATTGGGTCCAATCATTACAAAATTACCAATTTTGTTTTGAGTAGTTTCTTATAAGCCAATGAGCACTGGCTTATGCCAGGCATTTTTCTAAGTGTATTTATTGAACCATTTAATCCTTTTAATTCCCTGAGGTAAGGTCTACTGTTAGATTCATTTTATTTGTGACTAACCAGAGGTATAGGAAGGTTAAATAATCAGAAGTCAGATGGCCTGACTCTTGAGCCTGCCGCCTTGATCTAAACTCACTGAGTGGGGGCAGTGAAGATGGGAATAAGTCCCACCAATACCTGGTATACCCCAGAAATCTCTAGGGTTTGTGAACACTGATCTGCTCCATTCTGTAGTTTGATCATTGAGAAATGTGAATCCAAAGAACAGTACCTCCTACATTCAAGTCGTTGTGCACAGTTTAGGCTGCATCATACCATGGGGTTGCACATGGGCTCTTGGAGAACCTGAGGTGCTGCCACATTTAAAATCAGGCCTTTTTCTTGGGGGAGGGTGTTTTTGAGACACGGTTTCCCTGTAGCCCCAGCTGGTCTGGAACTTGCTACGTAGACCAGGCTGGCCTCGAACTCAGAGATCTGCCTGCCTCTGCCTCCCAAGTGTTGGAATTAAAGGCAAAATCAGGCCGCCTTAAGCCATCAAGAAACAGTTAATTCCTCTTCATTTTTGGTCATATGTGTTTTGTTTTGTTTTTGTGAGGAGGTCTGTCTCTATCCCAGGCTGACCTGGAACTTCAAGCAGTCCTGCCTCTGCCTCTGAAGTGCAGGTGTGAGCCCCCACACTTGCTCTCCTGTTCTTTTTATTGTTGCTTTTTTGATCCTTCATTTTCACAAGGACATTAAATCTAAATTACATAGTTTTCTTGACTTCAGCTCTTAGGGAGGCTGGCTCTCTCAATACACCAGAGTCTACAGATAGGAGATCTCTGTAATTTATGGTATGAGATTTCTATAAAATCATAGAACACTACAGTTGGCATTGCCTCTTCTCATTTAAAGTTTTCTAAGCTTAGGGCTTGATTAATTCATTCTGCAGACTGATACCCCAGGGATCCAGCCACTCTGGCAGGAGTGTCTAACAAAATCAAGAGACCTGTGGAAGTTTCTCCAGTTGTAGCTTCCCTGCTTTCCTTTCACAGTCCCAAATCAGATGTGTTCTTCATTCCTGAGCATGCTGTTCCTGGGGCATCAAGGAAACCGCTCAGGCTCACAGAATGGCCGGGGCAGCCTGTCCTTACCTATCAGAGAATGATGACAACAGCCACCTAATGCAGTAGAACACTTCCCCTGCCCAAGACCATGTGTCAAAATGAATTAGCAAGGACACATTAAAAACCCAGAATTGCCAGGTGTGGTGCATGCCTTTAATCCCAGCACTTGGGAGGCAGAGGCAGGCAGATGTCTGGGGGATGCTTCCCAGTTATGGAGGTGGAGGTGTTTGGACACATTTGCAAACCTGTTCCTTGGTGTTTTCTTGGTCTTTTTGAGACAGGGTCTCCCTGTAGCCCCAGCTGTCCTGGAACTCACTATGTAGACCAGGCTGGCCTTGAACTCAAGAGATCCGCCTGCCTCTGCCTCTGAGTGCTGGGACTAAAGGCCCACCACGCCCAGTCTGTTTTTTTTCCCCTTTTTTTGCTGGGGATGGGACACAGGGGCCAAGTGCTCCACTGCAAAGCTCTGTTGCCAGCACTTTTGGAGAAGAGTTGAGTTTTCTTCTTGTGTGGCTACACTTTGTATCTTAAATCAATTCTGATTCAATTTTAAAGACTTAAACAACTCTGTTATGTTTTCCAGAGAGACGGATGCCCAAAGATTGTCAATTTGGGTAGCTCTAAGACAGACCTGTTCTATGAACGGAAAAAATACGGCTTCAAGAAGAGGTGATTGGTGGGCAGCTCCTTCCTCCCCCATCAAGCTGCTGCAGCTGCCAGAAAAGACACCGACTACCACCAGCAGAAAGGGAGCAGAGCCCAGAATCACCAGAGCGCCTGCTAGCGTGCTGGCCCCTTGCCACTTTTCTTTCCCTCACCCAGGTGGGTGAGAATGGAAAAGGGTTCTTCGCAGAGCACGCTGGCAGACTATCCAAGAAAACTTGATCAGCTAGTTTATATTTGAATTGGAGCAGCAAGGCTCTGTTCTCCATACTGATAGTTCTTCCTACACCAAGAGCTTCAAAACAGGAATAAAGTCCTTCCGCCCTCTGTCTGAGGGCTTAACTACAGAGCCACCCCAGTGAAAAGCGTGTCCTTGCAGCAGCTCTGATGGCAGTTGTCCTTGATGACCCTCAGTGGCGGGGCCATCAGAACAATAACCATGGTCTTTAAAAGCTTTTACCAGGTTTCATGGTTTTTACGTTCCAAGGAATTGGAAACTTTCTGTTGCTATTCTAATAAAGCTGGTGTTTATTTTCTGGTAGTCAGTTACATTCCTCATTTGACTTAGCTCTAGGAGTTTAATCACCCAGGTACTGGTGGCTGAAGACATGGAGTGGGCTTCATAGTATGCACCACTCGAAGATATTCAGAGGCCCTGGATGCCTTCACTTCAGGCAGACAAGGGCTTTACAGAAGTAACTTTCTTTCCTAGCCCGGTAGCTAAGGCTGACTGGAACTTACTATGTAGCCCATACTGACCTGGATCTTGGCAGTTGTCTTCCTGCCCTAGCCTCTAGAATGCTGGGATTACATATGTGAGACCATACTGGGCTTTCTAACTTTAATTTTTGAAAAATGGCTTATAGTAATGGTGAGACAAACTAAATTGATGAGTTAGAAATACTCTAATAAAAATAATTTCTTTCACTAGGTGTGGTGACGCACACCTTTAATCCCAGCACTCTGGAGGCAGAGGCAGGCGGATCCTCTGTGAGTTCGAGGCCAGCCTGGTCTACAGAGTGAGTTCCAGGCAGCTGGAGCTACAGGGAGACCCTATCTCAAAAAGACCAAAAAAAAAAAAAAAAAAAATTGTTTCCTGAAGTACACACATTTACTTGAAGGGTTGTTTCCTTTTTTTGGTCTTTTTGAGGCAGGGTCTCCCTATAGCCCCAGCTGGCCTGGAACTCACTATGTAGAGGAAGCTGGCCTCAAACTCAGAGATCTACCTGCCTCTGCCTCTGCCTCCCTAGGCTGGGATTAAAGGCAGGTGCCACCACACCCAGCTTGAAGGGTGTTTAAATTCTCAAAACTAGAGAAATTCAGACATGCCCATACACCAAGTTAAACTTCATTTCTGCCTAATGGGGTGTTAATTTTCCCTGTGGGGGTATTTCTGAAGCCTGAAGATACCAAGTAGGTCTATCCTACCATACATATTGAAAGGGTGTGGGTCCTGAGGAATCCAGGGACTGGGCTGGTTTACACTGCAATTTAGTAGCAGAGCCAAGGTAAGACAACTGTTTTAGTTTAGGATTTTAGTTTGGTCAATAAAAATCCTTGATTGTAGCCGGGTGTGGTGGCGCACGCCTTTAATCCCAGCACTCTGGAGGCAGAGGCAGGCGGATCTCTGTGAGTTGACAGCATGGTCTACATAGTTCCAGGACAGTTGGGGCTACAGGGAGACCCTGTCTCAAAAAAGTCCCCAAAAAATTAAAAAACTCGATTGTGATGTACAGAGTATACAACCTCTTGAGGAAATAGAATAAGGGACCTGACAGAAACAGCCCCATTAAAACCCACAAGATCGCAAAGGAAGGGGTCTTAGGCCCCTTGGCAGGCACCTTGGGAAAGCAGGATGAGGTCCTGACCACAGGGCTAAAGATAATCCTGGAGGCTTCCCAGGTGCTTTGCCTCTGTCCCTACTGCAACCACAGGCTCTTTTTCAGTTCCTGAATTGCTGCTTTCCCTTCGGTCTCAGTGATTGTTAACCTGTTGATCTAGTGCTCCTTCTCCCACTCTGCTTGGCTAACTCCTACTCATCAGACCTGAGCCAAATATGTCCTCAGATGTCTCCCAGCCTTCAATCTACCTTCCCCTTGTACCCCCACATAGCACCTTCCATGTGTCCTGAAGCATTTAATGGCTATTAACTCACCTTCTAGGCTGCCTTCTCCCCAGCAGGTGTTTGGTGTTGAGTGATAATAAACAGCTTTGAAGGTACTGTAGGACCCTCTCTCTCTCTGTCTCTGACACATACACGTGGCATGCTGCATACAAATGGGCACACACACGTAATAAAAAATTTATAAACCAGTTATGTATATATAAACATTATTACATTGTTACATAACAAAATAGATATATCTCAATGTATCGATATTCATTAGGAAAAAAACATTCACCAGCTGTTAACTAGATTACAATGTTAGAAAAAAAATCTAACAGATTTCATCTTTGGCCTGCCAGTTAGCAACTTTTTCTCAACATCTTTTTTATTCTTTGAGTATAAGAGGGCGCATGCACTTTGGCGCTGGGAAGTGGTTTGTGGAGAGGTAGTCCTGAAGGGGAGTGGTGTTTGGGGAGCTGGAGCAGTTCAAAAGAACAAGCAGAGAACCAGGCCATTTTCAGATTAGAATTCGTCTTAAGACAGGGTCTGATGTGTCTCAGGCTAAACTGGAACTCACTGTGTGATCCAGACTGGCCTAGGGGTGCTTTTGCCTCATTTTCCCAAGTGCTGACTCAGACATAAGTCACCCTGCCAGCTTGTAATTGGTTTTTCAGTAACATTTTTTTTTTTTTTTTGAAATAGGGTCTCACTGTGTAGCATAGGCTAGACTGGAGTGTTGGGTTTAAAGGCATGTATTGCCATGCCTGACAGTAACTTCATTTTTGATCTTTAGGTTTTTTGTTTTGTTTTGTTTTTGGTCTTTTTGAGACAGGGCCTCCCTGTAGCCCCAGCTGTCCTAGAACTCACTATGTAGACCAGGCTGGCCTTGAACTCACAGAGATCTGCCTGCCTCTGCCTCCAGAGTGCTGGGATTAAAGGTGTGCACCACCACACCCGGCTTTGATCTTTAGTTTTAATATGCTTATCAAACCATCACTTCAACCTCCAAAGCATTTTGAATTTTTTCTTAAATATTTTATGTGCACAGGCCTGCCATGGTGCATCTGTGGGGGTCAGGGGACAACCTTTGAGAGTTGGTTCTTTTCCACCATGTGGGTCCTGGGAATTGAACTGATGTTGTCGGGCTTGGCAGCAAATACCTTTACCAACTGAGCCATCTCTCCAGCCCCCAAGTATGATTTAAAATAGTGTATGACTCAGTCTTTGGGAGACTGGCGAACAAGAGAGGATAAACCACGTCTAGGAAGATAGCTGCTATATCCCAGATAATCGTTAAACTCTTTTTTTGTTAAATTATTTTTATTCTATGTGAATGAATGTGTTGCCTGCATGTATGCAAGTGCATTCATGTTGTGCAATACCGGAGAATGTCAGAAGGCTTCGGATCCCCCAGAACTGGAGTTACAGACAGTTGTTAACTGCCACATAGGAGCTGGGAATCAACCCTGGGTCCTCTCCAAGAGCAGCCAGCTCTCTTAACTGCTGAGTCATCTCTCCACCCCCAACAGTCATTAAACTCAAATGCCCAACACTGCCAGGCACTTTGTTGTTGTTGTTTTAATATTTTATTATTTTTATTTTATGTGTATGTGTGTATTGCTTGCGTGTAGGTAAGTGTGCCCATGTCGTGCAATGCCCTCGGAAGACAGAAGAGGCTGTTGGATCCCCTGGAACTAGAGTTACAGTTGTTAGCTGCCATTTGGGTGCTGGGATTCGAACCCAGTGTTCTTAACTGCTGAGCCATCTCCCCAGCCCCCACTGCCAGGCACTTTGATAGGACAAGAAGAAACGTAAGACACTTTTGTGCAATATACCAATTTAAAAATATTAGCAACTTGCCGGGCGTGGTGGCGCATGCCTTTTGTCCCAGCACTTGGGAGGCAGAGGAAGGCAGATCTCAGTGAGTTCAAGGCCAGCCTGGTCTACATAGTGAGTTCCAGGCCAGCTGGGGCTGCAGGGGGACCCTGTTTCAAAAAGACCAAAAAATAATAAATAAATAATAAATAAAAGCATTAGCAACTCAGCCAGGCATGGTGGTGCATGCCTTTCATCCCAGCATTCAGGAGACAGAGGCAGGCAGAAGTCTGTGAGTTCAAGGCCAGCCTAGTCTACATAGTGAGTTCCAGGTCAGCTGGGGCCTGTTTCAAAAAAGACCAAAAAAAAAAAAAAATTATATATATGAAAGCAACTCACCTTTAAAAACAATACACCAGGGCCAGAGGGCTCCAGCAAGTTGTCCTCTGACCTCTCTCTCTCTGACACATATGCATACATACACATGTGGCAGGCTATAGCATGCTGCATACAAATGAGCACACAGATGTAATAAAAAATTTATAAACATAGCCAGGTGTGGTGGCGCACACCTGTGGTCCCAGCTCTTGGGAGGCTGAGGCAGGCGGATCTCTGTGAGTTCAAGGCCAGCCTGGTCTATGTAGTGAGTTCCAGGACAGCTGGGGCTACAGGGAGACCCTGCTTCAAAAAGACCAAAAGAAAAAAAAATTATAAACCAGTTATGTATATATAAACAGACATTATTACATTGTTACATAACAAAATAGATATATCTCAATGTATCGATATTTATTAGAAAAAAATTCACTAGATGTTAACTAGATTATAATGTTAGAAAAAAAAATCCAGCAGATGTCATCTTTGGCCTGCCAGTTAGCAACTTTTTCTTAACATCTTTTTTATTCATTGAGACTTTCATACATGCATACAATGTATTGTAGTCATACTGCAACTTTTTCTTGGGAGGGGGGTTGCTACGTAGTCCTGGACTGTCTGGGACTCTCTGTGTAGACTGGTCTACGTCTTGTGGAATTCTTCCTGCCTTTGTCTGACAGCCACTACTACACCCCACTTAGGAACTTCTTTTTATTTTTTAAATTTTTATGTTTTCCCCCTTCATGTAAGTGCACCCACATGTGCAAGGCAGGCCAGAAGAGGGCATTGGATCCTCCTGGAATTGGAGTCATGGATGGTTGTTAGCCACTGTACCGGCGCTGGGAACCAAACCTGGGTCCTCTGTAAGAGCAGCCAGTGCCCTTAACCACTGAGTCTCTCCAGCCCCACTTAGCAACTTATAAATTAAGAAAATTCCCAGGAAGTCAAACTAAACTGGCTAAATTTCAGAGAGACTGACTGTGTTACTGTTTTAACCCAAGTTTTTTAATATAGCTTCAAGCTAGAATGTAAATGTGAAAGATTATTTACCTTGGAGTAATTTACCCCCCCCAAAAAAAACCCCACCTTATTTCCATCTTTTCCCAGATACTTGATTCCTTATTTGTTCTCTTGTTTACTAGAATTAGTCTGGGGAAAGGAGAGAGAGAGCAAGAGCTTTTTGTCATGGCTATCCTAGCTCTTGCCTCAGCAACAACAGCTATCAAAGATCAAATTGAGAAACTGTTTTCTTAGATAACTTCAAAGAAGTTATAAAAGTTTCATCTTGACTTGTATGGAAGTCTGACTCATCTTGAGTTAATTGAGCCAATTATGGCCAGCCTTGTCACTGGCACCAAAGTATCTGGCATAACTTGCTTCACTTTCATACAGGGGAGTTGTTCCCACCCTTCCCCCTCTGCGCTCACCGGCGGTAAGCATTGTGAAAGAATGGCATATACCTTTCAACATACGATTATCCAAAATGGGAGGGGAATCAAGAATGCTTGGGTAGTAATTCAGCATACAATTAAAGGCCTGGCAAGATGAAATTACACATTGGGGAGAGGGGGGAAAAGTATTCCTCCTTACGACATGATAAATTGAGACATCAGCAATTAAGGAGGGTGATCTCTTCCCCCCTCTTTTATCCTATCCTATTTATACACTCACTCATTACTCAAAGCTCCCACTCGCCAAGGGAGACTGCACTGTTTTCAGGGATTGTTGTGAAGTGATTCTGCCCAGGGCTGATCCAAGTAAAAGCGCAAATGTGCCCAGACTCAACGCCTTCCTCAGCTTGCAGGGAAAGGTAGGAGACTCCTTCCCTTTCTCTGCTCATTCGTTTCCCGCCTTGAAATACTCTTCGACGGTTTGTTCCAAATCATCATAAACTTTGCCATCATTCTGTCCTGGAAGGTTTCCCACTAGGGAATGCACACCAACTAGGCACCGAATACAGTCTGTAAGATGCAATTTGGCCAAATTGTCATGAAGACTAGAAAAATTTTCAGATTTACAGGAGAAAAACTATTTCAATAAGGCTTTACACACAATATCATTTAATCGCCTCCGTTTTTATAGATGAAGAAACTAGTTTGGCGATGTAAAGATACTTGTTGCATTAAATCAAGATCTCACAACTGGGGAAGTAAACCCACAGACTTCCATGGCTTCTTCTAATCCTGGACTACAAACACCAGCATCCCATGCGATAACCCAATGCGCAAGCGCCCACTTCCAGAGCCCAGGCTTAGTCGCTGCAGCCAAACACCCAATCAGATGCCGCCTCTCCCTGCTTGGGGACCAATGGGAGGGCTGTTGCTAACAGGTCTGTTGTATTTTTAGCTTTCACCTAGAGGGCGGGCTCACGGAGGTGGAACACTCCAGAGGGGCATGAAAGGAAGGGTGGAGCCAGGAGGGGCGTGTGCGTGACGCTCGGCCTCCTGCTGACGCACGAGGCAAGTAGTCCCTGGAGGTGCCCAAGGCAGCCGAGGGGCGGGAGCGCTCGGGGTGGGGGATGGGGACCCGGGCTCGGCTCTTCCGAAGCTCTCCGCCATGGCCCAAGTGCTCAAGGAAAATAAGACGCACAGTAACTGTAAACTTTCCGATCTCACCACCCCACGTGGGCTCGGGAGCTGATGTTGCACCAAAACCCATAGGAAAGAGAAGAAAGAACCGGGGTTGCAGGATTGGGAACAAGACTCCGCACCAGGACACACACACACCCGTGCTCGCGGTGCCTTGAACCCAGCACAGCTCCCCCCACTCCCACCTTTGCGCCCACACTGTCACAAAACGATATGACCTGCATGGCCTAAGTCCGGCCAAGGGAACCTGGGCATACCTGGGGCATGAGCAACGAGCAGGGGGGCCGCGAACCCGCGGGACTGGCGCGGGTCTGCTGGCCTTCCGGGCGCTCGGCGTGAATAGTTCCACCGTGCTCGGTTCACCCTCCTGGCCCTCGGATCGGCTAGCCTTTCCTCCCGCACCGTGCCCCAGGCCCCCGACGGCCACTGCGCCCCTCTTCCCATCCTTTGATCCGGAGGTATCTAGTTCCAAGCGTGGCTCTCTCCTGGGTAAGGTGTCATTTCCTTCTCCACCAGGCGCGCGGCGCTAGAAAGGTCTGGTGAACCTGGGTTCTTTCAGATCCCGAACGTTTCCAGAGTTGGCGTCATGCCCCCATCTCCCTAACACCAGAACAGACCGGAACCAGAGGAGAGTCAAGTGATGGAGGGACACGCCAATGTGTGTGCCCCGTCGCCGCTGGGGCAGGTGCTGGTGCGGGGAGCACCCTGGGGGCCCGATGATGGCCACACAAGCACCCTACACGACGGATAGAGCTCACAGAGTTCAGCCTACACGGGTAGGCACCCTACACGACGGGTACCGAATTCTCAGAGCTCAGTCTACACGAAAAAGCACCGTACCTGACAGGTACTGAGTTTACTGAGCTCAGTCTACGTGGGTAAACACACTACATGACGGGTACTGAGTTCTCAGAGCTCAGTCTACACTGGTAAGCGCCCTACACGACGGATACTGACTTCACCGAACTCAGTCTACACGGGTAGGACCCTACACGACGGGTAATGACTTCACCAACCTCGGTCTACAAGGGTAAGCACGCTACACGACCGGTACTGAGTTCAGAGTGCTTTGGTACTTGCAGAAAAGAAATAGGGTGCCAGCTGGAGAAGAAAGGCGAGCAGCCTTGCTGAGAAAGGTCAGCGCTACAGAGCCAAGAGGAGAAGCCCTGGGAAGGCATCACCCCCCGCCCCCCGCCCCCACACACACACGAGCCTCGCACCCACCGCCCACCCATTAGCCACGGGGTTACGAGGAGTTAAAGCCTCCGCTGGTGGAAAAGTAGTCCCGGCACGGCCCCGCCCCGGCTGGGAGGAGGGACGCATCACGCAAGGGTGGGGAACGCGAATCCGTGCGCAGGGTTGCTAAGGGTGAAACTTTTCATTGACTTTGCTCACTTCGGACCCGGACGCGGGAAGGTGCGGGTGGTTGAAGACTACGAGTGAGTGGCGTGCGAGTGGCGGGGCCAGGAGCGCAGGACCCGCCCGCCGGCCGCACCTCGGACCGGCCTCCGCCTCGCTACGGGCGCCAGCCTCGGGACCGCCAAATCAAGCTGAATTAGAAGAACTCCCCGTGCGGCCCGCAACCCTAGACGGCGTCCAAGGACACCACGGCCACCGGGCCAGGCTGGAGAGAGCGCCCTGGACCGCCCCGGACCGCCCTGGACGCGGAAGCCACCTCGCCGCGGACACCCGAGTGAGTGCGCGCCGCTGCTCCCGCACTGTCTTTGATCCTTGATTACCTGGTTCCGAGCGCGGACCTCTCCAGGGTGTGGAGTGCGTTTTCTTCTGCGCCTCCTCCCCCGTCTTCACGCCCCACACTCTGGCTAGATTTTCCTTGTTCCCCCAAGAAGCCTAACTCTTACCAGCGCCAAATAAATCAGGGAGTGGGAAGGGGATCCGAGCTTGTTTTTTTCCTTTGCGGGTGGTGACTGAATACTGTTTGTTTCTGGCCCTTTTGAACCTGTGGGATGGAGACAAGACCGGTTGGTGGAGACTGCCCTTAGGCGGCTGTGCTAAGAATTCACTGCTGCTTTAGACTCTTGTATTTTAAGGGGAGAACTGTCGGGGATTGATTCTGCTTGATCTCCCCTGTTCCTAAACTCCTCTTCTGTCCAGGAGGATGTACTGAGCTCTTGACCAAAATACAAAGGAACAACCTTAAGGCCTTTCCCTCCCCCGGAAGCAACCAGACCCCCCCCCCCACACACACACAGCCGGCTCCACTTAGGGATCAGCAGCCTGGGTTTCTGGTGCCTGTTAAGTGTCTAGCTGCCTCCTCGCCTTTCTACCCTCCCTACCCTGGGAGTGGGTCCCTCTTTGATTTCCTAGCAAAAATCGTCGCTATTCCCAGCACTCAGGAGGCAGAGGCAGGTAGATTTCTGTGAGTTCGAGGCCATCCTGGTCTACATAGTGAGTCCCAGGCCAGCTGGGGTTACAGGGAGACCCTGTCTTAAAAAAGACTAAAAAAACCCACCCCTATTGCTTTCCGCGGCGCCTGCCCCCCCCCCCCAATCTCTGGCTTAAGCATTGGGAAAGGCATCTGGTGTGGGAGGGAGGATTAGGGAGGTTTAACACCCCGCAGGGGAGCTTTGCGTGGACCTGGTAAGTCCGGTCCTAGGGTAGGCCTTGCCGTGGGATGCGCTCGAAATCTGACTATTAGATGTCCAGGCTTTAGATGTGTGGTTCGTCCTTCCTTATCTGGGAACCTTTTACCATTTCCTTTATCCGGGTCTGGTTTCTCAGACTTCTTTAAGTGGGGTGAGGCTTGGGCCCCCCTGCTGTTTTGGGGCCTTCTTATTGTGGGCTCGGCGCCTCCCCACAGCTTAACAATTTCTTTGGTGGAAAGGATGGGAAAAATGGGTCGATTCCTGCCCTTCCCTTCCTGGCTATAGGGGTGCTGGAGCCGAGCCCACTAGGTATTAAGTGAAAAAAGACTCGTTTCTCTTTCAGTCCACCTAAGCCACCCTAGACAGCGGCTGCCCAGCGCATGGAGCTGAGATGAAGAGGCCGGAGCTGGAGCCTTTTCCATCCCAGCCCATCCCCTAAACCCAGTAGCAGATCCCTCAGCTGTGGGCTCGGGAGGTTCAGAAAGGAAAGGGGAAAGTTCATCCTCCTTGAAGCCTGGGCATCGACGTGGGGGAGGAGGGACGTCAGGTGAGGTGTGGGCACATTTATGCCCAAGGTCTTAGGCAATGGGAGGGGGCCACCACCCGACGCATGTGCGTCGGAAACTTTTCTTGGGCTTTGGACCCTCGGCCAGGTCGGGGTGCGGGGCATGCGCGGTCCGGCGGGCCGGGCCCTCCTAGTGTGCTCAGAGAAGTGTGGTGTGCACCGAAAGTAGGTCATGCGTCCTAGCGCGCCGGGGGACTAGTGCTCCCAGCGTGCAGAGCGGCCGTGCGCCTTGGGGGTGCGCTGAGTCCCGGCGCCCGCGGGAGCCTGCAGCGCCCTGACCCGGACGGAACGCGTGGGATAGCCCCGGGTGGCCTGAAAGTTTCAGGGAGATGGTGGTGTGCGGCCGCGTGTGTTGATCACCGATCCTGGAAGGCGAGCACCACACACCCGCCAAGCTGAACAGGGGTTTATTTGTTTTTGGTTTATCGAGGCAGGGTCTCCCTGTAGCTTCAGTTGGGGGCTATGTAGACCAGGCTGGACTCAATCCCACAGAGATCCACCTGCCTCTGCCTCCCCAGTGCTGGGATTAAAGGCACGTGCTACCACACCCCGAGTTCAAAACTGCTGGTGTTCTTTAAAAAGGCTTGCTTTGCATTTTCATCAGTTTCTCCGGAACCTGCAGTGACTAACGCCTTCTTTTAGCTTCATGCCCCCTCTCTGGCCCCGTTTTTGTCTTTTCCTGGGCTCTTACTCTAAAGCACAAGTCAGCAGAAGGAATCAGGATCAAGGTTTAACCTTGTGGTTAGCAGTACAAGTGAAGAAGCATAAAGTTATTAGGACAGAATTTATGTATTGTTGTTTTGCGAGACAGGCTCCTCATTGTGTACCCAAAAGAAAAAGACCTTGAACTCCTTCCTTCTGCCTCAGACCTACAGGGTCTACAACAGGCCACCTTTCCTCACCTGCAACTTTTTAGTACATTAAAAGGTAGTTTTCCCTATCAAACACTTTTCTCCTTTTTGCTGCCTCTCTAGTGTTTTGGTTGGTGGAAAAGATCTTAGTCCTCCACAGCTGCTTAACAAACCTACTTGTTCCTTTTTTGAAAGAGAGTTATTTCTAAGCTTTCTAATCTTACCATATTCCCATAAATATTTTATTTCTAAGCTCTAATTTGTCCATGGCTTTCTAAAAAATGAAGGAACTCGTCCAAATGGTCACTCCTATCTTTAGCTAAAGATAAGAGTGGGCTAGGGCTTTAATCTGCTCCATAAGCTTCTTGAAGTCAAAATTAGAGTCTGAGCTGATAGAGCAGAAAATCTCATTCCTGGTCATCCCGCATTTTTGTAAGGTTCCACCCCACAGCCATCTGGCCTGGCCTGTTCTCCAATTAAAGAGGCAAAGGTGGTGTTAAATGCTTCCTTATTTGTATAGCAACACCTCTGAGGTGGAAATTGATGGGAAGCTTTAGTTGCTTATGCTGCAGAAAATGGTTCTGTAGGCCCAGCTAATGACAGTGGTTCTATTGTGTTTTGGGGTGGGAGGCTTATTTCCCAATAACTTTGGCCTACATTTAGAATGCTCCATTTTTGAGGCGGTACTGTTCAGGGGTGGAAACTTAGAAGGCAGTTACACAGCAGAGTGACAGGAAAGCCCTTCCGGGCAGGATAACTAAGGCACATTTTAAGGGGTTCTGCAGTCTCTTGGGGAGAATGTCCTGCTGACTTCAAGTCTGTTTTACTTTCCAAAAACTTCTTTGAAAATACCACCTTTACCTACAGGCCTATACTTGGAAATTGATGCCAGATTTTTTCACAACTTTTTAGTCTCCTCCAATTTGGACACTTCTAGTGGACTGCAATGACCCTTTCAAACCTCCATTCATAAGCTGTCTGCTCAGAAGACTAAAAGAGGAGGATGCTCTGAGTACAGGAGGTCTGGTTTGGTTTGGTTTGGTTTGGTTTCGCTGGCCTTGAATTCCTGAGCCTCCTGTTTCTACCTCCCAAGTACTGGGATTACAGGTGTATGCCACTGTGCCCAGCTCAAACCCAGAAGTTTGAAGGCAGCCTGGGCAACCCAAATCATCATAAACCAAGCCTCTTACTCTTTTTTTTTTTTCCGGTCTTTTTGAGACCGGGTCTCCCTGTAGCCCCAGCTGTCCTGGAACTCACAATGTAGACCAGACTGGCCTTGAAATCACAGAGATCCGCCTGCCTTTGCCTCTGTGCTGGGATTAAAGGCGTGTGCCACCACGACCAGCTGCCTCTTACTCTTTTTAACTATTCTTTTTAAACTTAAAAAGACTGGACTTGACTTGTTTTGATCATGAATAGACAATCGAAGAAACTTATAGACCAAGTCTGTGTTGGAGACTGGGCCGAGGGAGCTATCAGGATTTCCTGAATGCTGAGTGATCTGTAGTGGGCTAGGGAAAGGACCTAGTTCTAGGACTTCTCCTGACTCTATGTGAGCCTTTCTATTTCCCGATCAGGACTAAGGGTTAGATTAGATGAGGGCTATTTATTCTCTGCTGCTCCAGATTGACCCCGTGCGTCCTCTCGAGTATATTCATCCCAGAAACCTTTTCCTGAAAATTCTATTCTATAGGACCCTGGGCCCAGGCCTAAAAATTAATATGAAAATGTGTTAGGATGGGTGTTCAAAAAACTTAATAGAGTTAGTACTTGGGTACCTCATTTTGGAACCAGAAAGAACTTTAATCAAAATCCAGCCACAAGTCCCTACACAAACTGAAGATGCCCTTGGTAGGTCATAGATCAAGCCTGTCTCTACTGAGCATTGCCCAAAGGTCTAGTTAGGGACCATTCTCTGGCTTTGCCTTCCTTTGAAGTGGCCCTTTTCAGTTCAATTTCTCCCTGAGATGGAGTCTGGAAGCCACCCTGTTGGAGAAAATGACATGAGGATCATTGACTTCCAGGACCTCATAGATCATCTTCCTGAAACATGAGGCTTGCCCAGACCTGAGGAATAAAGCTTTTTGACCTCAGTGGGATCTGGCTGTGAGAGAATCCCAAAATAACAATCGGAGTTTATCCTGAGCTGCCGCCTCTGTAGGGCTCTCCAAACACTTGATAAATCTGATCTGGTGCAGGGGACAGGTGGTCAGACAGTCCCTGGGAGACTGAACGGTGATGGGTCCCCAGCTGGAGGCTGTAGGGTGATGGGAAATTTCCTCCCTCTACCATCCTCTACACTCTGAACCTTGCCAGGAAGAAACTACAGAGACTCCCTGAGGCCACACTGCCACTTCTGATACTCTGCCAGCCTCCTGCCACCTCTGGGCACCCCCTGGTCCAGCAGTTCCCTTGTGGGCCCACATCTCTGGTTGTGATGGGTCTGGCCTTTTTCTGGAGGCTCTAGCCTGGCCTTGCCCCTATTATTGGAGGTGCTCTGGATAGAAATGCAACCTTTGGTCACACTATAGAGTTTTTTCTGTAAACCCAGACTGAGCCCTAAAGCATCCACGCCCATGGGGCCTAGGATGACAGATGGATGTGACTAGTGTCCAGGCCCCAGTGAAAAGTTGGCAGTGCTTCGTGTTCAGTGACCTGTATCGCTTTCAAGTTAAGGAGGGCAGTTAAAAAATGTAAGCTTATGTCTTGGCCTGTGACAGTTTGAGGGCACAACTTGACAGAGACCTTGTGGAAACAGCAAGAACTTCTGGACTCCAGCTGAATTAAGGACCTGACTTTATTTATTTACTGTCATTTATACAATGTCCTGAATTCTCAGAATGGTAGGGAAATACAGCACCACTATTTAGAATTCTTTTAAGATAATACTTAGCTTTATCAAATGCCTACTAATTGGCAAGCATAGTATAAAATTTCATCATTGAACCTCATGATACTCTTAAGTTACTGTCGAGGAGGCTAGATTAAAAAAAAAGTGACTTGTCCAAAGCTGGGAGTGGTGGTTCATGCCTGTAATCCCAGCACTTGGGAGACAGGGGTGGAAGGATCACTACAAATTCAAGGCTAGCTGGGGAGCTGCATAGCAAGGCCTAGACTGGGGGGGGGGGGGGGGGGGGGGGAGATGGCTCAGTGGTTAAGAACACTGGCTACTCTTGCAGGAGACCCAGGTTTGAATCCCAGTACCCACATGGCAGCTGTCTGAAACTCCAGTTCAGGGGATCCGACGCCCTCTTCTGTTGTCCTCAGGCATTGCACAACATGGGTGCACTTATACACATACAGGCAATACACTCATACATAAAATAAAGGACAGAAAAGGGAAGAAATAAGCCACTAGATCAGTGTTCTCGGTTGTCTGTCACTCCTGCCACCTGTATGTGTATTCACTGTGTCGTGTATTCCTTTCTCACTTCCTAGGACCCTCTGGAGCCCAGGGCTGCCATCTTTCTCCTGCCACTGTCCTTGGCTTGTGCACACGCCCTGTGCTGATTCTCTGCCTCAGAAAAGATCATGCAGCTGGAGCTCAAGGTGGCTCTGAACTTCATCATCTCCTATTTATACAACAAGCTGCCCCGACGCCGGGCTGACCTGTTTGGGGAGGAGCTAGAGCGGCTTTTGAAAACAAAATACGAAGGCCACTGGTACCCTGACAAGCCACTGAAGGGTTCTGGCTTCCGATGTGTCCACATTGGGGAGATGGTAGATCCCGTGGTAGAGCTGGCTGCCAAGCGGAGTGGCCTGGCTGTGGAGGATGTAAGGGCCAATGTGCCTGAGGAGCTAAGTGTCTGGATTGACCCTTTCGAGGTGTCCTATCAGATTGGTGAGAAGGGAACTGTGAAAGTACTGTACCTGGATGACAGTGAAGGAGGTGGTGCCCTGGATCTGGACAAGGAGATCAAGAGCAGCTTCAATCCGGATGCCCAGGTGTTTGTACCCATCGGCAGCCAGGACAGCTCCCTGTCCAACTCCCCGTCACCATCCTTCGGCCAGTCACCCAGCCCTACTTTCATCCCACGTTCCGCCCAGCCCATCACCTTCACTACTGCCTCCTTTGCTGCCACCAAATTCGGCTCCACCAAGATGAAGAAGGGTGGTGGGGCATCGGGTGGTGTGGGTGTGGCTGGCAGTGGGGCAAGTGGCCAGCAGCCACCACAGCAGCAGCCTCGCATGGCCCGCTCGCCCACAAACAACCTGCTGAAGCACAGGAGCCTCTCTTTGTCTATGCATTCTCTGAACTTCGTCACAGCCAGCCCAGCTCCTCAGTCCCAGCTCTCCCCCAATGCCAAGGAATTCGTGTACAACGGTGGTGGCTCACCCAGCCTCTTCTGTGATGGAGCCGATGGGCAGGGCAGCAGCACTTCAGCCCCTTTCGGGAGCAGTGGAGCTGGCACCTGCACCAGCAACAGCTTCGACATGTCCCAGGTGTTTGGAGGTGGCACCAACAGCCTCTTCCTAGAGAAGTCGCCCTTCGTGGAAGGCCTGAGCTACAGCCTAAACGCCATGCAGTATCCCAGCCAGCCCTTCCAGCCTGTCGTGTTGGCCAATTGATCATCGACCTGCCTGCTGGGCCAGGAGCACCCAAGGCCACAGAAAAGAGAAAGGAAAGAGAGGCCAAAAACGGGAGGAAAAGAACTCTGCAGATAAAGATTTGCAGTCTGCTCGTTCTCACATCTAGAAAAAAGATCCAGCCCAGGCATGGAACGGGCGGCGGGGCTCCCAAAGCACCAGTCGTGTTTAACTCAGCCCCTGACTGTTTTCCTACCTGCCTCTGATTTAATTTTGGTTGGTTTGGGTTTTGTAATTTTTTTTTTTACATGTAGTTTTCTATGTAACATCTTTAATTAGTGGCTTCCTGCGCTAAGAATGGTCCAGATGTGAATTGCTGCTCCTTTCTCTCCCCTTCACACTCCTTTAGGATTAGTGTGTTCAAGTTCACAAGAAAGGGAGAGCAACAGCTGGAGCAGGGAGAGGCTGGCCCTCGTGTCCACTGCCTCTGTCCCCCAGCTATCCTCTCATTCAAAGCCATCTAACCTCAGCCAGCCACCTCAGGCCCTGCCACCCAAATAGGTCTGGCCCTAGCCTCAACTCCCTCTCAGGCTGGGTTACAGGGAACAGCTGGCTGGCCACTTGAGAGCCTTCCACTAAAGCTAATGTCTGACTCTAAGGAGGTTAGCACTTTTTCCAGTTTAAATATTTTCATCTCTATCCTGTGGCTCCATCCTACCACCCCTCCTGGCCTAGACAATTCTCATAGCCCTTGGAGACTCACCTGATGATACATGTGTGGCCTCTCTTTCTCCAATGCCACCTTTCTCTGGGCCTGGGGATATGGGTAGAATGCAGAGGTCGGGGGAGGGTGTATGTATGTATGTGTGCATGTATGTATAGATGTGTGCACAGGCTTGCTCATGCCTGTGTGAGTGAACATGGCTTGATATCCTGTTCTAAAAGATTCCAAGCCATGTGGAACTTCCCCTCTGGATGTGATCCTAGGTTGCAACAAGTGCTTATTTATGTACAAGGTTAGGGGATGGGCCCAGGGTGGGTTTTTAGTCCTTTGTGAGGGCAGTATATGTGGTGGGGTGACACTGTGGCTGAGCCCAAGACACTCCTGGGGTGGGGGGGAAGCACTGCAGAAGGAACTGGTTTCCAGCTGCAGAGGGATCTGCACTTTTGTTTTTGACCAAAAAGAGAAAAAAAAATTAGCGCCGAAGGGCAGGATGAACACCCCAACCTGGTGCCTAAGAGGAGTCTCTAGACTTCAACCACTGACCTGTGACCTTAGCCAGGGTGGAGCCACTTAACCTTAGCACCCTTGCCAGTGGGAGACAGAGACAGAGTTTAGAGTCAGCCCCTGTGGTGGGCAGTCCTGAGCCTTGAATTGAGATGTCTTGCTTTTTGGTTACAGGTGTTAACTTAGTACATTTATATATACCCCTCTCTCAGAGCTGGGTACTTGCCTCTTGCCATACCCTGTTGCTTTCCCTCACCTAGCACTACTGGAGCTTGCTGCTGTGAGGTGTGACCCCCTGGGCTGACAGAGGCACTTTGCATCTAGGGCCCCATCACCAGAAAGCACCAAAGCCCCTGGCACCCACCCCACTCCATCCTCCCCAGGGACCCCAAGCGGAAACCGCTGTGGCAGTGAGTCCACCCCAGACACTGCCAACCTCCTCCTTGCAGTGGGCCCTAGCTCTACCTCCCCAGCAGGGCAAGGCCCTGAGTTCTTAACCCGGCACCATCTGTCCCCTAATCTCTAGCCAACCTAATCTGGGCTTCTTGCTCCCTCAGCCTTCAGGCCTACACAGGTGACATTCCCAGTAAATAACCTCTCTGGGACAGGGTGGGTGTTGCCTTATCCCCATTTCCACCCCCTCCTTACACATGAACACAGGTACCACCCCCACCCACCCCAGTTTGTTTTCTCACACTTGGGGAGATCAGAGCCCAGCCCCTTGTGTCTTTTGAAATAGGAAAAAAAAAAATGTTCAGGAACATGACTTGGGCTGGGCTCTCAGGGCCCAGTTCAGTGTCTCATCGCAAATCTAGGCATTTTTGCTTCAATTTTATTTTTTTTTAAGAAAACAGAACTCTGCACTAATTACCTGGTTTCGTAGGAAAACTTTTCTTTTTATTTTTTACATTTTTTGGTGTCCGTTTGTATTAAATAATTTGCTACATTTGTAAAATGTAAGAGGTATATATAATATATGTATATTTCTAACATAAGAAACGGAATTTTTTTCTTTTCAAGATTTTTTCTTAAAAGAGGAGATAAACCAATATTTTTTCAGGAAAAACAAACTTTAAAATAAAAAATAGGAACATGAGACCTTGTTCCCCCCTCCCTATTCTCTCTCTCATCCCTCTGACCCAGGAACAAATCAGAAGGTGAATGGATGATTTTGTCAAGAACGAAAGTTTTCCAGAATGGTTTTTCTCTCAATGCAGTGAGCTGTAGTTTCTCTAGTTTTCTCCCTAAGGATGGGAAGGGGGGGTGTGTTGGGGCAGCCGTAGAGAGGAGCTAGGGGACAGGGTAATGAATTTTTTTTTCTTTAGTGAAGGAGGAATACAATCAAGACATTTTGTATTCAGAATGTTGTGCAATATTTTGGAATGGGACATTGGTGTGCTTAGAGATTTAGTTTAAACAAAAAAAGATTGATCAAATCTGTACAGTTTATATTGTTCCAGATTTTTTTAAGTTTGTATTAAAAGCATGGTATAAAATAGCTTTCTGCTTGCCCCTAGTTGGTTTTGTTGTGGGGTCCTTTGAAGATGGAGCGAATGAGCATGGCCCTGCTGCAGTGTGTGGGCTTTAGGAGACCTTTGGTGACTGACCTCTAGGAGACACAGCTGACCTTGAATCCCTTTGGTGTGCCCACTACCACACTGGAAACTACAAGGTTAACTGCCCCAGGTCCCTTGGCTAGTAAGGTGGTGTGGCCAGGACTGGGAGGAATTTTTTAGGAGTCATCTACTTTGGAGGAGGGGGAGGATAAAGATGTCCTCCAGCTTGCTCTGGGTCCAGTGTTGTAACCGCCCCTGCCACTTGGTCTTTCATGTGGGCAAAAATGAAGCCAACCTTTCTCAGCCAGGTTCTGATCAGCACCTTGATACTTGTTTTTTGTTGTTGCTGTTTGGTCGTTTTGTTTTTTTCCTTGACTGGAGTGTCTCACCTTAGAAGTGAGACGGCTTGTCTAAGCCAGGGCTGGAAAGCAGCCCACCTGCCACTGACTGATTTCCCTAACACCTCAGTCAGTCACCTCCTCCCTGTCTCAGGGCCTGGGGCCATGGTTTACCTTCCTCAGGCTAGTGCACATGGAGTTGCCCAAGGCCCCAGGGCTGGACTGGGCAGGGCATTTGAGAAGGTATTTGTTAAATTTTCTTTCACCCTCATGGCAGCTTGATGCTGAAGGAATTACATTCATTTTATAGTTGGAAAAATGGGCTCCAAGTTAGATTGCTTACCTTTACAAAACTAGTAAGTGGTAAAACAGATTTTTGACTCATGTCTAATTCTGTCATTTATTCGAGCCAGTGATGCTAAGTAGTGTCGGGCTCTTACCCAGTGAGCAAATCACAGTGCCTGCCTTTCCACACACTACATCTCAGACACCTGCTATAACTGATAACACAGGATATGGACATTCTGATACTTTAAAGCTGGGGGCAAACAAATTCTGGGTATCAGTGTTGTAGGGGTGTCCTTGGGCCCCACACTTTGCAAACAAGTTAACAGCCTTCCCCTAGATGATCTCGAACCAAACAGGTTCCATTTTCCCTCCGCAGAACCTGTAGAACAGAGAGGGAGGCCCTTGGTCCAAACACAGGGCCACTTTGAGGGGCCTCACTGCCCCCTGTCCTATCAGAGGCTAGCCTATCCCTGTGTCTATGTACAGGCTGGCTGCCAGCTAGAGGCCCCAGGCAGGGATGAGATGAACCCTTGGGCTGCTCACTCATTTACACCACCATAAACACAGGTCCTGACTCAGCAGGGGCCACAATCATCTGCCTTCCTCTCACATATTTGGACATGAAAGGCCTGGGCAACACCCAACCCAGGTGCTAAAACTTATCTTCTGTAACAGTCAGCCCATCCACTTCTAGGTAGGGAGAGACATCACAGACTTAAACAGTCTGTCCCCACAAATCTTCATGGCTGTCTCATACAGGGCAAGCCACCATTTAGTGACCAAATGCTATCCTCACTGGCTCTGAAGAGGTGGAGAGGGAAACCCGACATGGAAGGGTTGCTGGGCCCCTGTGACCAGGGGGTAGAAAGAATGTTCTGAGGCTGGCGCAAAAATGGCTCAGAGGATAAAGACACTTGCCACCAACCATTAAAGAAGGTCGAGCGTGGTGGCGCACGCCTTTAATCCCAGCACTCAGGAGGCAGAGGCAGGCGGATCTCTGAGTTCAAGGCCAGCCTGGTCTACATAGTTCCAGGACAGCTGGGGCTACAGAGAGACCCTGTCTCAAAAAGACCAAAAAACAAAGAATGTTCTGGTAGATTCAGAAGAGAGTTCTTCCTCCCCCAAAAACCTCATCCTCCAAAAAGCCTCATTTATACATCTGACTCTGTCCGGCAATACAGATTGAAGGCAGGGAACACGGGAGAACCCAGCCTAGAAGGCTTCCTGGAAGCCATGGAAAGCTAGCCACAAAGGAGAACGGCAGGACCACCCACAGCTCTAGGGGAGCCTCCTTAACATAGGTTCCATTCCCAAGCTGGGAGACCTTGACAAATCACAGGTACTTTGGTACCTGTTTCCTTCCCTGGAAGATAGGGATAATTAGTTGCATCTCCTTGTGAACGTTAAATAATGGGTGGGAAATGCTGAGCACACTGGCTGGTGTGGGGTAAACAAGGTAAGTATCATTTTCCTCATCATCATGGCTTTATTGTCCCTCCTCAAATGCTCCAGCCAGCTCAGTTCAGTTATGCTTCTCTGCATCAGCAAACAGGCCGAAACCCAAGCTCTCCTGGAAAAGGAAACTAGGTTCTGGGAGCAGAGCCTGGGCTGCCCCTCCCCTGCCCTCTTGCCTAAGTGGGAGGCTACTTGGCTCAGCACAAGGTAAAGTCTATTGAGCTCCACCCTCTTCTCCTGGGACCCAGCTTCCCATCTCAGGATGGGATGGGCCTTTGACGTGGGTCCCTTGAACCATCCTGGAGAGGCAGATGGATAAGTTGGGGTGACTCACACAGTGAACCCTGCTCCCTACCTGAGTCATTGCCCCCAGGGCCAAGGAGATGGCCACTGCCTTGTCCTTACCACTGCTACCTTCCTATGAATGGGCCAGGATAGGGAGGCACACCCCCTCCTTGCCCTGGGCCAGATAAGTCTGGTCTGGACCCAGCCAGAAAGTCTCCAAGGCCTGAACAAGATGGCTCCTCTGTCTCAACTTGGGAGATTTCACTGCCAGTGAGAAAAGTGGGTTCTAGGTCCTTGAAGCTGCCAATTCACTGTGTGACCTTGAAACACTTGACATCCATCCCATTTGTACAATAAGCAACACTAGGGCCGAGCCCTCTCCCACTGGACCATTTGAACTGTTTCCCGGGCCAGTGTGTCTTCTTGCCCTGGTGAGGGCCCTGTACTGTGATACCTTTCCCAGGTAGATACAGTGAAATGATGGACCGATTCCTGGGTAGGACCACACGGTACAGCTGGAACACTAACCCCTACCCTCACGCACAAGAACCTAATCAACTACTGCTGGACTGTGGCAGACCTAGGAAAGGCTGGGCAGGAGGAAAGGCCTGGCCTGAAGACATCTGGGTTCTTTTAGCTCTACCCTGATCCACTCTATTCCACGTGTGGTATTCAACATTCATTATGGAACACTGAGGCCAGGGATGGAACTCAATGATAGAGCATTTGTCTAATCTAGCAAGTCACAACACCACCAAAAAAGTGTAACATGGAACATCCATAAAGCTGGCACTTTTCTGGGCAGGAGGAAAATACAGAGAGAACAGCAAACAAAAAGCCTGCTCTCCTGAAGTATGGTTCCCCTGACTATAAATAAAAAATTACAAAAAAAAAAAAAAAGAGTGGGCTGGAGAGATGGCTCAGCAGTTAAGAACACTGTTCTTGCAGAAGACCCCCATGGGCATTGCACGACACTGGTGCACTTACCTACATGCAGGCAATACATGCATACACATAAAATAAAAATAATAAAAAATTAAAATAAAAATTACAGGACTGGAGATGTAGCTCAAGCTGTTGTCGAACATGCAGGAAGCCCTGGGTTCCATCCCTAGCACTGCATAAACTGGGGGAGGTGCTGCATGCCTGTAATCCTAGCACCTGGGAGGTGGAGTTCAAGGTCATCCTTGGCTATGCATGGAGTTTGAAGCCAGCCGCCAACCTAGGCTACGTTAGACCTTGTCTCAAAACAAAACAAAACAAAAAAAACTCTGCAAGTTGTCCTCACTTCCAAAAACTTGCAACACCCCCTGCAGCACATACACACATAAATAAGTGAATAAATAAATAAATAAAACAATACAAAAAAGAACCAAGTAAGAACTTTTAATCCCAGCACTTGGGAGGCAGAGGCAGGCGGATCTCTGTGAGTTCAAGGCCAGCCTGGTCTACAGAGTAAGTTCCAG